CTTCCCAAGCGTGATATTATTCTTTGGGGAATTCCTTTCCTAGCAATATGTCATGCTCTCCAAATACTGATCCTCCTCTTCTGTTCCCAACTTTTGCATTCCAGTCACCCATTATTATTGCGGCATCTTTTTTTTTAAATTTTATTATTTGTGTGTATAGTCAAATCATATCTGACTGGTACAGGAGGAGATTGTCCCTCCTTCCCCAGCAGAGCATCTGGTGGATTCGAACTGTGCACCTCTGTATTACTGCATCTTGATTGCATATTCAATCGATTTCTGACTGCAAAAGTTGGTAGAAATCTTCTGTTTCCTCTTCTTTGGTGTATATATTTGAATGATAGTGGTATACACTGGACTTCCTTGTATGTGTATGGATATTATCCTGTCACACAATATTGTATTTCAAGACGCATCTAGAAATGATTTTTTTAACTATGAAAACAACCCCATTTTTCCTCATCTTTTCATCTCTAGCATAGTAGATCATATGATCATCTGATTCAAAATGCCCCATGCCAGTCTATCTCATCTCACCAATACCTAGTATGTCGATATCTATGTTTTCCATTTCTTAATTTTCTATATTCATAGTTCTCACATTGCATGTTCCAACCACTAGTGTCTGCTTACAACTGTTCCTCCTCCTTAGTATGTCCATACTTGAAAGTTCCACTTCCGTTGCCCTATCTGCTAGTCTAAGTGTGTTCTGTTGTACATAGAATTTTTGAAGTCCTGCTATTTCGGAAGTGGATGGCCAATCCTTCTTCCTAGTCTGTCTTCATCTGAATGCTCAGATTTAGCAAAATATCTGACAGACAAGCATTTTACAGAACAATGCAGATGAAAGATCTTTCCCAATTGTAGAAATAGCCAGTAGTTTTAGTGTTGTCCCTACCCTTGACATGAGTGTCTTGACCCACCCATTTCTCTGCTCCACCAGCATTCCCTTCTACTCCCACCTACTCTTTTCAGCACCTCTCTCTCGCTCTTACCACGGGGTCGATTGGCAGCATCAGGATGGTTGCTAAAAAGATTGAGATTGTTCACAGCTTTAGTTTGCTTGGCTCCACAGTCTCTTGGCACCAGCAGCCAGGAAATTAAAAGACGTATTTGAATGGGAAAGTCTGTGGTTAGAGACCTCTCTGAAGTACTGAAGAGCAAAGATATCAGTCTGGAGACTAAGGAGTGCCTGATACAAGCCATGGTCTTTGCAGTCACTTGCTATGCATCAGAGAGCTGGACATTGACTAGGGATGAGAGAAGGAGAATTGATGCCATTGAGCTGTGGCGTTGGAGTATTGAATATACGATGGACTGCTAAGAAAAGAAACAGGTTTGTCCTGGAGGAGGGTGAAGTCAGGCTGCTCCTTGGAGGCAAGGATTCTGAAGCTTCATCTGACATACTTTGAACATGTTGCAAGGAGGGTCCAGTCCTTGGAGAAGGACATCATGCCTGGGAGGGTAGAAAGACAGTGCAGGAGAGGAAGACCATCTGTGAGGTGGATTGTTTCAGTGTCTGGGGTAATGGGGGTACGTGTGTCAGAGACAATAAGATTGACACAGGATAGAGCAGGGTTCAGGCCTGTTGTATGTAGGGTTGCTATGAGTTGCAGGCAACTGGACAGCACATAACAACAACTTGCCTGAAGTATGTGAGACAAAGCTTCACCATCCTTGTCTCCAGGGAACATTCTGACTGCACCTTCTCCAAGACATAACTATTTGTTCTTTTGCCAGTCCATGAGATAGTCACTACTCTTCTTCAGCACCACAGTTCAAAGGCATTAGTGCTTCTGTCATCCCTATTTATTGTACAGCTCTCAAATGCTTAACAAGTGACTGAAAAGGCCATGATCTGAATCAGGCACACCTTTGTCCTCAAACGGACATCATTGCTCCTCAGTAATTTGGAGAGGTCCCTACTGCAGACTTTCCCAGTGCAGCGTTTTCCTGATTCCCTGACCAAAACGTTGATTGTGGATGCAAGTAAAATGAAATTGTTGACAGTTTGTCTTTACTCCATCTATCATGATGTTGCCTATGGGTCCAGTGGTGAGGATTTTTGTTTTCTTGATGTTGAGATGCAGTTTATATGGAAGGCCACTGTGTTTGATCTTCTGCAGCAGGCGCTTCAAGTCCTCCTCCTTTGAGCAAGCAAGGTTGTATCATCTGCTTACGGAAGGTTACCCTTAAATTATTAACCTGAATTGTGTCATGTAACAAAGCTGAAGTCACCTTTTCCCAATCCCATTCCTAAACAGTCCGTGACTTTGGACTACCTTATATTTCATTTGCTTACCCTTCTTCCTCATCCTGTTTGGTTCTAGTTCGTGTTTTTTTAAGCCCGCCTCAAAATAAGCTGTTTTCAAATTTATAAGTAGTATGTTTTCGATTTACCAACCTATATACCAGCTCCCTGCTCTCCTTTTTTTCCTCTCACATTGGAGTCCACTTCTTCCTTCTGGATTCACTTTGTTTCTTGGTGAAGACTTCCCCTCCCTCCCTCAGCAAGGGTCCGTGAGTGGTGAACTTGATTTCTTTTCTGACCATGTGCTTGTTTGCTGTCACACAGGAATTAGGGCCTGGGGAAATGTGTCTGGAGCTGACAGTTAACTCCTGCGGGCACTCTGATGTTGTTGTCCCAGTGGCTGATGCCTGTTGTTGCTAATGAGAAACTGTCCATCAGTTTGCCTTCTCCTGTGTGTAGGTGATTAGATAAGTAGGTAGACTGTTAGCAGTCAAGATTGTCACACTTTCAATTTCCTTTTAAAGGATTCGTAATGATTTACCCAGATAGGAAATGTACTTACCCGGTTTAGGCTTTGTATGGTCCTTCAGTTTGGACAGACAGGTTTTCCATTTTTGTTTGCTGGTCTCTTCGTTCTTTAAGTAAGCTCTCTCCTCTGTTCTCTTCCTCTTTGTGTTTACTGGGCCTTCTCATTCTGTCCTCCCTGTCCTCTGACTTGCCGATTCCTCTCCATAGCATCTAGAGTCTTCCTCAGCCTAAACATTGAATTTGTTTTTATTTTCATTATCTCATTTAATTTCCAGAACTTGTCAACTTTTCCAATTTTCTTAAATTTTTTTATTTTAATTGAGATTTTAATGAAAGGTTATAAAGAACTTAGATGTCCATTCATTCATTGTTGCACATTTTCCTCCCTATCCACTGCCCCAGTTAGCTTTTCTCTTTGAAACTAAATTCTTTCATTGTTGCACAAACACCACCCCCAAGTCCACTTTGCTATGCAGCTCTTATTCTGGACTGTTGTCATGCAAATAATACCCAATCATATATTCCTTTTAAGCAGTTCTTTTCTTCATCTGTTTCAATGCAATGTACATTATTTATCCCTCTTTGCTTAATTTCCCCCAAACCTGTTTAATAGCAGTGGCATTATACAATATTTGTCCATTTGTGACTGAGATATTTCACTCAGCATAATGTCCTCCAAGATCACTCATTTCGTATAATATCTTATAAGTTCCTTGTTTTTCAGTGTTGCTTAGTATTCCATTGTGTGACTATACCAGAGCTTCTCTACCCATTCATTTGTTGATGGGCACTTGGGTTATTTCCATCTCTTTGCTATTGTGAACAAAGCAGCAATAAACATAGGTGCACTTTTCCAATTTAAAAAAAAATACTGTCCCTTAATTTCCTGATTCTAGTACTTTCCCATCTGTTTAAATTTTATTGTTCTGTTTTATCAGATACTTTTTTAAATGTATATTGGTTTGCATACAAAATTGGTACACATTTTGTTTCTTTCATATACATTGTTTTTTTGGGGGTTTTTAAATTTATTATTTTGTGTGTGTGTGTGTGCTATCAAATTGGATCTTACTGATACAGGAGGAGATTGCCCCTCCTTCTCCAGCAGAGCATCTGGTGGATTTGAGCCACGTACCTCTGGGATAGCAGTGCAGCTTCTTGCCACTAGGCCACCAGCGCTCCCTTTATTTTCATATTTTAAGCACACTGATTTTAACCTCTTGTCAAGACCTACTCAAAGGAGCAGTTGGAACCGGAGTTAGAGATTGTATATTGATTGCAGTAAGTGAAGTGTGTATATGAATGAGAGAACTGAGCCCAGAAGTACCAATATAAAAGCTTCAAAGAAGTTATAGTATTAAAAATCAAATAAAGGAAACATATAATACTTACTCAGCTCTTGGCTTTCTAGAAGGGAAGTTTAAAGGGAATTGCCTATTTTGTGGTTCTTAACTGCTTTCTTACTGTCACCGGAGCTCTGGTAGCCTAGTAGGTAAGGAGTTGCACAGCCAAGCCAAAGGCAGGCGGTTCAAATGCACCGAATGCTCTGTGGGAGAAAGATGGGCAGTCTCCTCCTGGGAAATGTACAGCCTCTGAAAACCCACTGGCAGGCCAGCTGTGAATTGGTTCCAACTCGATGGCAGTGAGTTTCAGGGAACTCCAGTTGCATAGTAGGTAAAGAATTGTGCTGCCAACCCAAACACCAGCGGTTTGAATTCACCAGTTTGCTCTTCAGGAGAAAGATGGGCTTAAAAAGAAAGGTCGCCAGTGAAATTCACAGCCTCTGAAAACCCACTGGAAAGTCAGCTATGAATTGGTTCCAACTCAGCAGCAAGAAGGTTTTAAGTATTATAGTCTCTTATTTTCAAAGAGGAGAAAAGAACACGCCAAGCAAGGGCACGAGCTTATCTTGGCACTTATGCCTAAAAGAAATCTGTAACACAGGACTGTACATAGGAGGAGTGAATACCTTTACAAGTATGACCACATCGTCACTGGATATTTAGCATGCACTTTAAATATTGTCTAAAACACAGTCATCTCTTGCATGATAAATAGTATGGATCTAAAACCAGCTATCCTGCATAAGAAAACTGCTCAGTGGTTTGGAATTCTTTTTCTTGGTGAGAAAGTATCAGTCATCGTTCCTGTTTTGTTGCCACGGTTGCTGAAATGTGTTCTCGTTAAGCCTTACCCCATTCTGTTTTCTCTGTGGCACTAGGCAAAAAAGAAGAACATGTCGGCCTACCAGGTGTTCTGTAAAGAATATCGCGTGACCATTGTGGCTGATCATCCAGGTATAGGTAAGGACAGCCCTGAGCTTTCATCGTTGCACTTCCCTGTGTCTCTCTGAGAGCAGTGCAGTTAAACTAGTCAGGGGCAGGCCGTTTCTTCACTTAATATTAAAGGCATACAGGTCTCATTTCCTTCTGCAGGTCACCATACATTTTTGCCTGTTGACCCCAACCTAAAAGACAAGAACTTTCTCTTCATAGCTCATAACTTAAACTGACCAGATGGGAGGGGCATGTATAAAATGGAAGCAGGTCAGACATAATTGTGCTAAACAGGAAGTGATGTATAAATATTTTATGTAAGAAGACTTGGTGGTGGTGTTTTCCAAGATTCTACAGCTGACCTTTTCCTTAAACACTCCTTGATAGTAGAGTCTCCCTAAGATAACTTCTGTTCATCTCTGTTTTCAAAGCTAGTGAAGTGAGAATAACCCAGGCCTCAGACTGTCAGTTCGCTTCTGCCAGTGCCACTTGTTTGAGGTGTAGAATAGCTGCCCTGTGTGAATCTACTGGTAAAGCATAAAATCATTAAACAAATCAAAGTGGTGGAAATCTTGAAGATTTCTTTGAAGCTAGTGTAGAGAAGTTCTTTGGTTTTGATCTCTGAGAAACTTGGTGAAAGGCTCATGCTTCACCAACACCTTCACTCTTAACCAAATGCTACCAAATGTACCTTGTTTTAACATAACTGATAAACTCTATATTGTGGAAGCAGATGGGAAGCTACCAAAAAGATGTGGAAGGAATCGCAGAGCGTAGATGAATGAGAATTTGTACCTGAAAAATGCCTATTTCAGACAGAAAAGAATCCAAACAAAAGTGATGAAGTTTGGGTTTGGGTTTTTTTTTTTTTAATATCAAAAGAATCTTTTGCTATTTAAATATTAGCTTCACAGACTTTTTCCACTCTTTTGCTACCCCCAACCTCATGTTTTGTTGATAATTAATTCTTTACTAAATTTAGGTGTTCTTTTTTTTTTTACTCTTTTATGCCAGATTTTGGGGAACTTAGTAAAAAATTGGCTGAAGTGTGGAAGCAATTGCCAGAAAAAGACAAACTAGTAAGTATACCATCTTACCAATAGCTTTCCTGGTGTTCTTTGTTTCCTAAAATATATAATTCACCTGTAGACCCCGCAGCCATAGAATACGGATGGGGGGACGGCCAATGAAAATGGTTAAGGCTACAGCCCTTTGTTGACGGCAGTTGTCCCTGGGCAAGGATTGAGCCGCACAGAGTCTGTCTCTTCTAACTTTGTCTCCCTCCCTTCCTCTCTTACTTTCTCCCTCCATCTCTTTTGCTCTTTTTTTTCTCTAAATCTTTGCCAGAATGACCTGAGCCAAAAATTGACCTGACTTGATCAGTGATTTAAGTGTGAGAAGAGACAACAGAAATACAAAGAATCTAATCTGAGAACTGTGAAAAGTCATCTACTTAATAGTCACTGAAAATAAGAAATGAGTTTGCTAGGTAACTAGATTTCAGGTCATTATCCACGTAACCATTAACATATGATACATCCTGTTAGCAAGAAGGGAGCTCTGATAGCCTAGGATAAGGAGCTGTGCTGCCATCCCAAAGGCAAGCAGTTCGAATCCATCAGCTGCTCCACAGGGAGAAAATGGACAATCATCTCCTGTGCGATTAAACTGCTCTGAAAACCTGCTGGAGGCTCAGCTATGTGTCGGTTCTTACTCAGCGGTACACGACAACTATCAAGATGCTAACAAGACATTAATAAATATTCATGTCTGAATCTTTTTAGCGTTCACGCACCAGTTGGGTTTTATGGAACTAGAATTACTGTCAAGAAATTAGAACTCTTATCTCGCTTTAACGTACATCTGGATGAAGCAACAGTATTCCACAGATAGATGATCTTCATTTCTGTCGTCTGTGTTACCCTGCCAGCTAGGAGGCTGGAGGAAATACTGAACCCTCCTGGCATTACACTGGACTACATGTTCACTCCATGCCTTCACATTTCAGCCCCGGTCTGTTCTGTCCTGTCACATGGGGTTGACTGCTAACGACCCCATAGTGATAGAGTGGAATTGCTCCATAGGGTTTGTAGGCTGTAATCCTTACAGGAGGGACCACGATGCCAGGTCTGTCTCCCATGGGGCTCCTGGGTAGGTTCAGCTCACCATCCTTCTGATTACTAGCTGGGCACATAACCACGATTCTACCAAGGCTCACCCATCCAGGGAGCCAAAAACCAATGCTGTGCCGGTCCCCTGAGCGTTGAGGAATGTTCATAGTTCTCTAGGACATTGATGTGATCACTGTCTAAAGTACTTTCCATTTAAAAAGTTAATGTTGGCACTCTTATCTGCCCTCTCCCACTGTTCTTTTCTCTCCTTTATTCTGTTCCTCCAGGACTCCCTTCCCTTTTACTAACTTGTCCACTTTAATTTCTTTTGCCCCAATCTGACTACAGATTTGGAAGCAGAAAGCACAGTATCTGCAACACAAACAGAACAAAGCAGAAGCTACAACTGTCAAAAGAAAAGCATCCAGCTCAGAGGGCTCCATGAAGATGAAAGGTAGTGTCCCTGTCATCCTCCTGTCCTTCGTTGGCCCCGAGTCCTGCAAGTGTCGCTTCCTTGCCAGGAGATGAGGAGAGCGTATTTATTGTTTCAGAAGCCAATCTTTTTTTTTTTTTTCATTGATACCTTTTTTTGTTTGAGTGAAGGCTTACCAGTCACATATTGGTCCTTCATACCTTCATACACATTTTCTTTCATAACATTAATTATCCTGGTTAATTATATTAATTACAACATCCAATCAGCCCTCATTACATATTGCCTTTCCCTTCACCCAACTTAACGTTTTATTAAATTTTACTCCCCTTTGCCTTCCTTCCCTTCCCTGTTAACTGCCACCATTGATTGTATCTCTTTGTAAAACTTTCCTTGTTGTTGCTATGTGCTGTCAAGTAGCATGTGACTCATAGCAACCCTATATACAATAGCCCATTACCCTGCTCTATCCTGTGCCAACATTATTGTCTCTGACATACCTACCCTCATTACCCCAGTCACTGAGTCAATCCATCTCATCGAGGGTCTTCCTCTCCTACTCTGTCCCTCCACCCTCCCAAGCATGACGTCCCTCTCCAAGGACTAGCCCCTCTTTGCAACATGTCCAAAGTATGTTAGACGAAGCTTCAGAATCCTTGCCTCCCTGCAATCCCAGAGGTATGCAGTTCGAATCCACCAGATGTTGTGCTGGAAAAGGAGGTGCAATCTCCTCCTATACCAGTCATATCTGATTTGATGGTACACACACAGAAAATAATAAAATTAAAAAATTAGGCAAGAAGCTACACTGCAATCCCAGAATCCTTGACTCCAAACAGCAGCCTGGTTTCACCCTCTCTGGGACAAACCTGTTTATTCTCCTAGCAGTCCATAGCTATTCAACACTCTTCTCCAGCACCACAGCTCAAAGGTATCAGTTCCCTTTCTATCATTCCTACTCATTGTCCAACTTTCTGGTGCATAACAGTTAATTGTAAAGACTGTGGCCTGTATCAGGCACACTTTATTCTCCATCATTACTCTTCAATACTCTGGAGAGGTCTCTGACAGCAGACTTTCCCAATTCATCTTTTAATTTCCTAGCTGCCTTAGCTTTTACTAATAGTGGCCTTAAGCCGTATTTGTCCTTTTGTGACTGACATGTGTCGCACCATAGGATTTGCTTTCGATTCATCCATGTTGTGCAGTATTTCACAAATTCTTAAATTGTCTTTTTTATAAAATTAATAACCATTGATCTATGACCACTATTACCCCATCTTTTCAGATCTTCCCTGGACCTTTCTTCATTTTCCTCATAGAAGCCAATCTTGATAGCCAGGGTTGGAGGATACACATGTTCAAATTTAGAAAACACAGATGAAAGATTAGCAAATATTTTCTGTAAAGGGCCAGATCACAAATATGTCAGACTTTTTAGTCCACACAGTCTGTCCTTCTGTCATCCTTGACATTGTTGTTGAGGTGTTTGTGTTGTATGTGCATGCACTATTTTTTGGGGGGAGATTTAATGATTCTTTTTTTTGATTTCTGTTTTTTTGTTTGTTTGTTTGTTTTTTAATTTTTATTTATTTATTTATTCTTTTTATGTGTGTACCATCAAATTGGATCTGACTGGTACAGAAGGCGATTGTTCCTCCTTCAGCAGAGCATCTGGTGGATTTGAACCACGCACCTCTGGGATTGCAGTACAGTTTCCTACCACTAGGCCACCAGAGCTCGCCAGATTTAATGATTCTTTAAAAATAAAAAAACATTCTTCACTTGGCAGGCCATACAGGAATGAGTCCCAGACCAAATTTAGCACATAAACCACAGTATTTGGTATAGTTCATAAACAAGACAGACCGTGAAGAACATCTTTGTGGTTTTCTCAGGTGTGATTCCTCTTTTCCCTCTGTCCTCAGCTGCTTCTACGGGAGGACTGTCCCCCCAAAAGAAGTCCCCACCCAGCACGTGGCTGGGACCAACCTCGCCAGCCAAAGCTCCGGAGACGGAACCCATTGATGTTGCTGCTCATCTCCAGCTGCTGGGAGAGTCCCTCAGCCTCATCGGGCACCGCCTGCAGGAAACCGAGGTGAGGGCTCTGGGCAGCAGGGCGGCTCCCGGGACTGACGTCACTGAACTTGGGTCACTCAGCTCACCTGTGGTCATTGAGCAGGTTTATGCTTCATTATGCTGGGTGCTCACGATACAGAGAGAAAGATGCTCTAGATATAGAAACATCGGGAGATTTTGGATCTCCTTACTGACTTTGAAAGTTCACGGATAAGGTCTTACTGAAACACTGGAAACAAAGAAATTAGAATACCCAGCACTCACTATTTAGAGGAAGAAGTCCAGGGGAAAAGATGAATGACATAAATCCCATGACAGTTTTCATCACCTGAACTTTTAAGAGTATGAACTCTTCTGTGCATTTACAGCAGGAATTTGAATAGGTTTTATAGGCAATTAAGAGATCCACTATTTCCTTCAAAATGGTTTACAAATCCTAGATTTTTTATTCTCAAACTGTTTGTTACCCTACTCTTGAATTGCACAAGGTGTTGTGCCCTCGGGAGATCTTTGTCCTTTTGAGCTTCAAGTTCAGAATCCCTTACCCTACAAAGCCATAATGTTCCGTTTCTTTTACTGTATTCAGTTTCTAACTGTACTGACCCCCCTCGCTAACTCAATGAAGTAATTCAGCTTCCCAGTGGGTCGTAATAGAGCCTTGTAGCAAAGAAGTGCGCCCAACTTACTGGAGCTATTTGTAAGGTACTCATCGTTGTGGATAGGAAATTATTACTCAATAAGATAAATACCAAGGGCCACACGAGACGAAGTCCTATCTTCTGGGCTTCGTTTTCATAGTCAGGGTTCACATCTGTTGGTCATAGGGCTGCTCTGAGTTGTACTCAGCCACACCTATCAACAACCACATGTTTCCTAAAAAATGCATCTCTGCCGATGTGCTCTGTAGGGAGGTGCACTGCTAACTCCTAGATGGTGCATATCTAATGGTTCACATCTGCCTGTAGCTCTGAGAAATTTGGACAGTCTCCTCCGTGCAGTGCAGTATTCTGCCTCTGAAAACCCACTGGAGGGTCGGCTAAGAGTTGGTTTCACAATGAGCTTCTGATGTGTCATGTGCCCTAGGAAGTTAAAAGTAAAAATTACTTACTTATATACCAAATTTTCTCAATATTTAGTAAGTATTTGTTGGCTGCCTCATCATTGGCTGGCTCAGTGACTGGCTCTTGGTACAAGCAGCCAGGAAATTTAAAGGTGAATTGCATTGGGAAAGTCTGCTGTCAGAGACCTCTACAAAGTACTGAAGAGCAATGATGTCAGTCTGGAGACTAAGGTACGCCTGATATAGGCCATGGTCACTGCATTTACTTGCTATGTGTCAGAGAGCTGGACAATGACTAGGGATGACAGAAGGAGAATTGATGCCTTTGAGCTGTGGTGCTGGAGAAGAGTACTGACTATACCATGGACTGCTAAGAGAACAAACAAGTTTGTCCTGGAGAGGGTGAAGCCAGGCAGCTCCTTGGAGGCAAAGATTCTGAAGATTCATCTGACATATTTTGGGCATGTTTCAAAGAGGGGCGTCATGCTTGGGAGGGTGGAAGGGACAGCACAAGAGAGGAAGATCCTCGATGAGGCAGATTGATGTCAGTGACTAGGGAAATGGGGATAGGTGTGTTGGAGACAATAAGGTTGGCACGGGATAGAGCAGGGTTTAAAGCTGTTGTGCATAGGATCACTATGAGTCACAGGCAACTCAATGGCACATAACAACTACCTCATCATTATCACAAGAAGTTGAAGGATTAAAAAATCTGAATATCACAGTGTAGCTATGATCAGAAAAGTTACAGGTTTATCATAAAAGTAGAAAATGTGCATATTTAACAATTTAAAACCAGCCAACTTCTGTGAATAGTTACTGCAATAAGTAATTACTTATAAATAGATCCAGAGAAGAAAAAGAGCTTTATTTATTCTTTACTTTTTTAAAACAATTTCAAAATAAAGCTTACCTTTTTATGTTGCAGTTAGTGTTACGTGCCTTCGAGTCGCTTGTGACTCATAGCAACCCTGTGTACAACAGCTTTGAACCCTGCTCTATCCTGAGACAACCTGACCATCTCTGACACACCTACTTGCATTACTCCAGTCACTGAGTCAATCCATCTCCTCCAGGGTCTTCCCTGCCTTCACTGTACCTCCACCTTCCCAAGCATGATGTCACTCTCCAAGGACTGTCTGTATGTCAGACAAAGCTTCACAATCCTTGCCTCCAAGGAGAAGCCTGTTTTCACCTGTTCTAGGAAAAACCTGTGTGTTTTCTAGCAGTCCATAGTATATTAAGTACTCCTCCAGCACCACAGCTCAAAGGCATCAACATCAACTGTCCTTCTGTCATCCCTAGTCATTGTGCAGCTTTCTGACACATAGAAAGTAATTGCAAAGACCAGGTGCACCTTAGTCTCCCGACTGATATCATTGCTCTTCAGTACTCTAGAGATGTCCCTGACAGCAGACTTTCCCATGCAATTTGTCTTTTGATTTCCTGGCTGCTGTTATAGTGTTGATTGTAAAGCCAAGCTAACTGAGGCTGTTTACAGCCTCTTCGCCACCCATCATGGTGCTGCTAATTGGCCTGGTAGTGAGATCTTTGTTTTCTTGATGTTGAGTTTCAATCCGTGTTGAAGGCTGTAGTCCTTGACCTTCTGCAGCAAGTGCTTCAGGTCCTCCTCAGTTTCAGCAAGCAGGGTTGTGTCATCTGTATAACGCATGTTGTTGATGAGTCTTCCTCCAATCGTGATGCCACATTCCTCATAGAGTCCAGCCTCCCAGATGATCTGTTCTGCATATAGTTGCCAGGGATCCCATTGACTTGGATCCCCAATTAATGCTAGCAGAAGCAGCAGGCAAGAAGTGCCGTGACCTACTGCATTGGGCAAGCTGCCACAAACGACTTCTTTCAAGTATTAAAAAGCAAAAACGTTACTCTCTCAACAAAGGACATCTGACCCAAACTTCATATTCATGTGAAAAATCAAAGTCATTGTGTCCAGTTGAAACCACTCGTAGTTACATTTGCAGAGACTATAAACTGCATGAGAGGAGATTGCCAACCTTTCTCCCCAGGAGCTGCTGGTGATCACTGCTTAGCTGCACAGCTCTCTAGAGACGACGCCATTAGGGCTCCCTTGTTCATGTAAAAACTCGACAATAAATAAAGAAGACCATATGAAATTGACTCATTTGAATTTAGATATTGGAGAAGAATACCGAATGAGTGCATTAACTGCCAGAGAACAGACTGTTTTGCGAGAAGTACAGGCAGGGTGCACCTTAGAAGTAAGGATGGCGAGACTGTCTCACGTACTGTGCATCTGTAATCAAGAACCCGTCCCTGGAGAAGGACTTCACACTTGGTGAAATGTCCACGAGAAATGGGAAGCCTCTCAGCAAAGTGCACCAACATGGGGGCTCCAACGCCAGGCTGTGAGGATGCTACAGGCCCTCGTGCTGTTTCATTCTGTTGTATATGGGGTTACTGTGCGTAAGAACCAACTAGAAAATAGCAATATATTCAGAGTTGTGAATCCATCACCACAATCGAGTTCTGGAACATTTTTCATCATCCTTGACCCTCACAAAATAAGCCATACCCGTTAGCAGTCACTAGTCTGCCTTTTGCCAGACTTTAGTCATTTTCTTTTTTTTTTTTTTTTGAGAAAAAAATTGTAATTAGCCAGCTGGACTCAGTTTAGATGATCCCAGTTTTGTCGGCAACATCCAAAACATCATAGTCAGGAGCAAGTCGAACACAGGCCTAATCAAGGGGTTGACCTTGACCACATCAATGTCATAGAGGTTCTTTGCATCTTGTTTGATTTGGTGCTTGTTGGCCTTGACATCCACAATGAACACAGGTGTGTTGTTATCTTCTATCTTCTTGGCTTACTCAGTGGTCAGGGGAAACTTGATGATGGCAGAGCGGCCAAGCTTGTTTCTCCTGGGGGCGCTGTTCCAGGGGTATTTGGGCTGCCTTCAGAGTCTCAGCAGCTTAGGCCACTGGAAGGTGGATGATGTGCAGGTCTTTTTTTTGTGTCTGTGGATGCCCTTCAGGACTATCTTCTTGGCCTTTAATGCCTTTGCTTTGGCTTCAGTTTTGGGAGGGGCAGGGGCTTCCCTCTTCACTTTCAGTATCACCTTTGTAGCAATGTCAGACTTTAGTCAATTTTCACATATTCTTACAATTTTGTAATTTCTGTACAGTATTCTTTATAGTATCTATAGTACTACTTATTTAAGAGAATCTTATTTCACTTAATTTAGAAGGAACTCTGTTGGTTTAGTGGTAAAGAATTGCACTGCCTACCCAAGCCCACTGGAGGGTCAGGGCTAGGTTGGTTCTGATTCAATGGTACACAACAACACAGTAATATCCTCGTAAAAAAGAGTAGAACAAACTGATAGCCAAGTCTAGCCTCTGTTAACTCCACAAAGGGGAACTGTCCTCATCCACAGTCCAAAGTCCCTATTTCAGGTTCCTTTATTTCAGACATGGCTTTCATGCTCCCACGTGTACTTCTAATTCCAACACTAATCATACTGTGTTAGTATGGGATTTAAAATCTATTGCAGTAGCTGTATAAGTTTCACAGAGCTGTACTCACAGCTATGAAGTTTATTAGGGGAGTTTACAGGTTCAGGTCAAGTTCACGGGTTTCATTCAGTTAATTTGAAGTTGACACCAGGATACAGTTCCTGGTAGTCACAGGCCCTTTGACCTTCAGACTCAGGGCTTATGTCAGTGTTACAAAGTTCCCATAATCCTGCCAATTAAGGTGTCCTCCCTCAGTCCTCCAGCGAGCTTGGGTGAATTGCCTTGGCTCTGGCTCTGTGACACAGGAGTCCCACGTCAGCTGTGGCGTGCTGGTCCTGGTTCTCCCTGAGCCGACTGCTGCTCTCGTGCAGGCCCCAGCCTGACTGTTGCAGGCCGCAGTCTCTTCATCCTCTCCCTTGCTGATAGTGAGATTCCTGCCTTTGTGCTAAAACTTGCTGAATTTA